ACTTTCCAAGTTGTGAAATGCATACTAGAATCATCCTCCTCAGTAACATCATTATCTTCAGGAATGTTATCTAAAAATGTGGTGGTTGGTACAAATTCGCTTTCGCTTTTCAGAATCACTTGAAGACTCAACAATTTCATTCATGATTAATATGTCCAAAAAAGTTAAGGGGTGCCTATTAAAAATCGCGTAGGATGGATGAATAAATTTATAGTGGAGATTAAATTTAATCATCCATTGATATTTCAACACCTTTTCCCTTATTATTATTATTATCACTTGCTAGAATCTAATATTTATTAATTAATTAAATGAGAATGAAAAGATTGTTAGTAATAAATTAATAATTAAATTAGTGGCCGAATACTTTATATTTTCTTATTAATTAGCTAACTTTTGTACTTTTAAAAGCCCAAGTTACTACTTTGAAGTCATCTTGATCAAATTTTTCAAGAACAAACAAGAGTTCCTCATACACGAAAAAGAATATATGATAAACGACAATATGATAAGGAACTAAATGCACCTACTAATGCGCTGGATTGGACAAGAGCATGTTACGACGGTTCTTTAGCTGATATAGTTAACGAGGCTGTTAAAAAATACGAAAAACTTCAATTAGTAACATCGGATAAAAGAAGTAGTTCTGGAGAGAGATCTAAAGAAAATTCCAAAAGAGAGTGAAGGAGAAGGTGATTCAAAAGAGGCAAAAGAAATGGAGATTAGTAGAACTTGGTCATTTTTTAAAATTTAAAATCACTTTTAGAAATTAAATAAAATCAATTCGCATTCATTATAAATTTAAAAATAAAATAACAAGCAATATATGGCTAATGGTGAATTAATACTAGCCAAAATACTAAAGATTTTAAATAATCATATAAATCTATCTGAATGAAATCCGGCATCATACAGATTGAAGGAATCGGTTTTATTACCAAATGAGAATATTTAATTAGTTATCCAAAAGGTATCCGATTAGACTTTATCGATTGATGTCAATTAGTTATCGAATGACGCAATAAATCGACACCAATCGATATGTTACAACATTATATAAATATCAATTAGATCAAAATTTGATAGCCTTTTTGATTCGAAAAGCTTTGCATGCAATTATTATTTGTTATAAAATTTATTTACAAATTAGTTTCAAATTATAACTTTATTATTATTAGATGATGAATGCCTTTTAATGAAACAATTTGGTATTTGTGGAGCATTCAAATGAAACAAGAAAATCAATTAATTAGCTTGAATTTTCATTTCCTTATTAGATAGATGGTTTCTTTTTTTGTGAAGTTACTATTTTTTTATCATGTGAAATTTAATTTCGGATTTGTGTTTCATATCTTGGATTTATGTTTCGTCCGAAACATTAGTTATAAAATATATACAAAAAATTACTTACGACTTAATTTTTAATTAGAATAAATAACAATAATTAATCAATTTTGGGATGTGTCTTGCCTGAATACATGAACTCTAACGCTCATTTATCTTATCTAGTGAAAATGAATTCTTTTACCTAATCACCTACTATCCCAATAAGTATTAATCTTTCAGAGTTCTCTGCTCTAGTTAATGGTATGCGAGTTTGTGGTGGTTAAAACTTGTCAATATAAAATTCGGTTTTACACAAACCATCATATATTTCTATAAAATTACCGCCATTTTCATCTTCAAATTATGCTAGTTCCATTGATATGTTTTAATAAATTATTGAAAGTAAGATTTTGAGTTCATTGATGCCAGTCTAACTAAATTGACTAAATATAAATTTCATGGGTTGTCTTTACATAAAAATTGTATATCTTGTAATCTCAAGATGAAAAGAACACCATGTTCACCTTTAAGTTCTGCCAATTCTATTTGCATTGTTTAAAATAAATTATTGACAAGTAGAATTTTGGGTTATTGGGGTCGAAATTTCTTGTATTATTAGTAATGATTTATGTTCTTTGAATTAATACATTTGATAAAAAAAAATTAAATTAATAATAATCTTTTTATAATATAAACATTGTAGACATTAATAGTAATATGATGATGATATGTAATACTTTCATTTTCTTTTTTAAAATTTTTTTTGTTAAATCCAATCTATAATTCTTGACGTGACTAGTATTAACTTGAGTTTTTTGTACATTGGTATTTTTACAACCATTATAACCCTCCGTAGTTGTAAACTGCTATCCTTTCATGAAACTTTGGTATGTATATCCTTGAAAATGGAGGAGTAGTAAATTCTACCAATCACAAAAATATATAAATAAAAAGCATAGTGCGCGTTTTTTATTATTCATTTAGTTTAAAAAATAATCTAATCATCAAAAAAATTTTGATGCCCAATGAATAATAAATCATTTAATAAAAATAATTAATAATAAAAAATAAATATCAATTTTTTTCTTATAAAGATTTAAATCCACATTGACAACTCATATCTTTCGTAGTTATTTCTTTCGTCATCTTCTATACGAGGATAATATGGAATTAATGCATCTTGTGCTCCAATATATAAATTATTATATATTTTCCAGTAGATTTCACGAACTTTACGTGCAGGATGAAACAATCCCTAAACATTTATGACATTTATAATATTTTATAAATATTATTGCTGTTGTATTATGTATATTATATTTATTTATTTGAAATTACATACCTGTAAAACGTATTGAAGAACTGTAACAGGTCCAAGTGCAACTCTTAAACCTTCAATGGCCTCCATAACTGCATTAATAACATGAGGTGATGTTTCAAATATATTTGGCCAAACATAATTAAGAAGATGAAGAAGTGCATCCTCGCATCCTAATCCGAAAACACCTAATGACATATCTAATAAGAATAAAAATTATTAATATCATTAATATCACTCATTCATTAATAGTAATTGATATCATCATCATGTTTTATTATTACTCACGTTTTACAGTTGTACATGCTGTTTGTCTATGAACCAAATCACGGTCCATCAATGCATCTTCCAATAATGGTGTTACTGCATAAATATAATCTTTCCCCATTTCACCAATATATTCAAATAAAAATGAAAGTGACTATAAATAGTTTAATAATGATAGAATTATTAGAATTTTAATAATTATCAATCATTATTATTATAAATAATCATTATTTGTTACCTTCAAGACACCATTTTGTACATTTAATTCTGGTACACGATACTCATTCATTAAAGCAGGAAGCACTGTGAATGGTGCACAAGTTTCTGCAACAATTGCTATATACATTATCATTGTCGTTATTGTTAGTTATTATATTATTATTATCTTTTTTTTTTTTTTGATATTTATATCATACATTATTTTACTTGATAATCATTAACTTACCTATAGCTACTGTAGTACATACTCGGTTTTGACGTTCTTGTACTTTGAGGTTATTAAGTAATGTTGCTAAAACATCTTGTGGTCCGATTGCTTTAGCTATGTAGCCAAAAGTATTTACAGTGGCTCTTCTAATTCCTTTTTTATGTGCTTTAAGCATATCTAATAATTCAAAGCAAATTCGCATCCATTCCCTTGCACTGACAAACTCTGCTCCTCTATCTGCAATACGTCCAACAAGATCTATGCAAGCTTCTTGGACCTTTTCGTGTCTATTCTTGAGAATAGGTGTTAGACGCGGAAGAAGATCTTTAATTGGCGGCGTCATACTTGACATACCAATAACGTTAACAATTGATTTTAAGCCTCCTAAAATCGAGCCAAGTACTTCTGGATATTCCTCTCCCAAATATTCATAAAGTACCACTCCAAGATGTCCCATTAACTTTTCTTCTCCACATGTTTTCATGACTACTGCAATTCGTGATATTAAATCTGCTGCTTGTTGTCGAACTTTAGCTGATTTATTATTAAGACGCCATAAAATCGTTGACGTGATCTGTTGTAAATATGGTTTGACTCGAAGTCCAAGTGCATTAACCACTGTACCAAAACCATTCAACATAACAATATCTTCAACAGTTTGTTCTTGAAATGCATACAATATACCATCGATTAAGACTTCCTCCAATCTTGTATCAATATCTGCTGCTCCCAATTGACTAACCACTTTCTCGACCGTTTCCATTACCATTTTTCTATATGGTTCCGATTCATCTTTCAAATCTTCAACAATACGTCCCACTATCTCTGTGACTCCAACTTTTTGTGCAAGTTCAACTGTAGTCTCCACCACCTGTCTATAATTTCTACGATCGAGTGCCATTCTACGAACCCAAAAGTTCTTGAAAAATTCTGGAAGTATCTCGTCTTTTATATATTGTGGCAATACTCCATCTGTTGCTGCACATTGTTTCACCACCTTGAGAACTATTTTTTTCATCTCCTCATCTGGTGATTGAAACTCTCGAATCAATATAATCATAACTTCTTTTGTGTAATAATTAGCATATTCTGCGTCCATAAGTGGAATAATATATCCTATAGCCTTCAAAAACGCAGCAAGTCCTTTGCCACGATGTTTACGTATACCAGTCCAAAGTGGTTTAAGTACTGAATCGAATGATTCTATACCATATGGAGCTGCTGCTTCTGCCAACGCTGCAATGGCCAATGCTGTGATAGTACGAACCTTTTGTTGTTCATCTTCTAATCCATGTGCAATGGCTTCGACCAAATTTTTTAAATGTGGTAGGACTGCACATCCCATCAAAATGGCTATCTGTTGAACGATCTTTATTCCCGTATGTCTGGCTTGCCATGATTTTTTACTTTTGCATACTGCTTTCAAAAATGGTAATAACGCAGGAATTCCATGTGCAGATGCTACAACTGAAAAGGCTCTTGCTGTAGTGTTTCTAACGTATTCATCAACGTGATCAATATCTATTATGTTTTTTTATCATGCAAATAATTAATTAATAAATAAAGTATTTGCTTATTAAAATATATGCATGTATTATGTTTGTGTATTGTATATATAAATAATACATACCTGGTCTCATTGTAGCAATCATAGTTGGCAATCCTGCAGCTTTACTTAAATTACTTATAATTTCACGGCCCTCTATTTTATATAAATTCAATAAATTATTATCAATTTTTCTAAAATAATTTGAAGAAAAAGAAAAAATTTACTAACCACATCTTGCAAAATAATCTTCATCAATCAAAAGTGGTTCAATGACCACAAGGATTTTATGGACATATGGACGTACCAAAGCATCGAGCTTATAAAGAATACGATCAATTACTTTAACTAGTAAATGACGTTCTTGATCTTCTAAATTTTGAGACATCAATAGAGGAAGAATTTGATTAAAAAGTGGACCAGCTCCAAAGTCCCTAGCTTTATCTGTGATTTGCCGAAGTGCAGTTTTCCTCATTGGAGGTGTTCCATTTTTTATTTTAAGAAGTAATCTCATGATCTTGCGCTCTTTCAACTCTTCGACAGATAATTCACTTTCATCTTTATCTTCTAATAATTTACCAAAGTGTTGCATATCTTCTTGTTTAAAAAATGGCAAGTTACCAACACCTGGTATTTCTGGAGGTAAATCATAAGTTTGGTTGGGATCTTCTTCTAACATTATAAAACCTTCGCCCGCCATTGGTGTGGGTGTTGCCATTAATTTACGAGCAGGAGTTCTAATGGGTACATATCCTGATGGTGGTTCCAGAATTTTGTAACCAGTTGAAGGAAACATTGCGTTAAGTTCCTCATCTGATAAAGGTTTATTACGTGCATCTAGATCTTTTTCCCATCGTTGTACTTTTTTTTTTTTTGCAAAACACAAATGAATTATTTAAAAGGTTGGTAATTATTGAAATGTTTAAAAAATATATTCAATAATAAAAAATTTATTTTTCATGAAACAAACCTTCAGGCGTCATAGGCACGAGGTGACCAGGAGTAGGAGTTACTAAACCCAAATTCCCAACAGGTGTAGCTCCAATTTGAGCTCCTGGATGAGTAGGTGTTTCATCCCAACGAGATTTCTTTGTTGAAACTTGAGGAGTAACATCCCATCTACTTCGTTTGCGTGGTGTCTCTGTTACTGAATCTTCCGAGTCTCTAGGTGTTTCGTCCCATCTACTACCCTTAGAGATTGGAGTACTTTCTTCAAGCTTAGACCATTCAGAAGTTTGTCTAGTTTCTACTTCCATGTCGACTAGAGCAAGATTTAGTTTTTTTTATTATAACAATAAAAAATCCTTTATTGTACAACAATGCTTATAAATTTAAATTAGGGACCCCGGAAAATGGCTGATTCTTATCGGACATTCTAAAATTTTATCGGAATGCCCGATTTTTTTTTATACATGACAAAAAGAAAGCGAATTGACGCCTGAACGTGTTTTTAAATTGGTGTAGTATTATTTATTACAAATTAAAATGTCCAAAAAATACCAACATTGATGATGATGGTGGAATGTGGGAGGCAAAAGTGATAAAAGTGATGAAACAATTATATAGGACAATTAGAATAGAGAAGAAAGTAGTGGTGATGCTAAAAAAAGAATAAAACTCTACAAAAAAAAATTTTTGTGAGAAAATCTTTTTATTGCATTGAAACTAGAGACCTATTCTATCAATTAATAAAGCAAAATTTAAGAGGTCTTTACACCGGGCCAACTATTTATAACACTTATTTTTCTAAGAGTCTACCCAAAATAGTCAAAGATGTACTTAAAACACACCCAAGTGCGTTTTAGCAGCACAATATTTTTAAGTGTGCAAACTTTGCTGGGGTACCTGACTTGGTAAGATATGAAAGAGGATACCCACCATGAACCATCGTCAGGGTAGTAAAAGGGAAAAATTAAATGGGTAAAAGTACTAGCCGAGGACTAGTAGTAAAAAGACAACCTCGAGCTGCATGCTCACACTCTCAATATAATAACTATTATGAATTTATTCGGTTGTAACGGCTTCGCCTTTTCTCTATATAAAAATTGGGTCTCTGATGAAATTAAATTAATTAATGTAAACATTGCAGTGTCAAAGGTTGTTTTTTTTCAAAAAGTTTATATCTCTTTCTATCTATTACTTTTATATATCTCTTCTTTAACTATATATATAAATAGAAATGCAACTAATATAATAATAATAATAATAAAATTACCGTTGAGTTTGCAGAGCCAACAATGTTATTTAAAGCTCCGAGAAATAATACATGATGTTTTTTTAGGTAGCGAATGATTGATTCTACTATTTCGTTTCATAGTATTTATTAAAGAACAATTTAAGAGCCTATTTTCTTGAACTCAGCTTGATTCAAGTTTTAACTCAACTTGAAGTTTCTATAAAACGAAGAAAATCTAGCTCAATTCAACAATAATAAACGTTTTTGCATTTCGTTTTAATTCTCTGCAAATATCCGAGCAAGTTTTATACAGTCAAATCTAGTTTCAACAAATCTTGTTTAAATTAAATTCGCATTACAACGAATTTTTAAAAAAATATAAAATTCGTTGAACCGTGATTTTAAATAGATTCGTTTTAACTGTATGTGTGCATATATTTCAGAACCTAAAAAACATTTTAGTAATTATCAAATGTTCTATAATTCAATTATTTTCGATGATCTGATAAAAAAATAATATCAAATTTCGAGCTGGCTCAAACTAGTGCTTTTTTGTGCCCGTTCAAAGTTTTATTCATTTCAATAATCCCCATTTCATACACCCCAGAGATTAAATGGATTAAAAACAAATAATTTATTTTTTTTATTATTTTGAGCCTTTTCATCTTCGTCAAATTCGACTATTCATCAAATGTGGTTCGAGTTCCTTGTATTTAAGTTGACGAATTAGATTAATTAATAGCAACGGAAATTTCGGTTTCATTGGTTAGTCCTGTGGTTGCTGTAGTTGAGAGTTTTATTTGTTTAAAAAAAAAAAATAGATTATAAACTTTTACTTAAATTTTGCAACTTCTAGATACCATATGGAGGAATCACCAATTCCTAAATTGCAAAGATGGATCCAAGGGCGAGAAACGTAGTTTTTGAAAATGAGTTTACACGTCAGTTTCGGTGTTATACTTTGCAATATGCCAAAGAAACTTGTTTGGCGGGAAGAAAGATAAATCAATTGATATTCCTCTTATTATTGTTATTATTATTCAATTTACATTATTGGATCAATACTAATTAATTGAAAATATAATGGTCATTCACATTCAACTTCAGATATATCTTTGAAAAACCAGAAGAATTACATAAAATGATGATGATCAATTTCGGTTTTTGGATTTTGTCCCACCTTAAATATTAAGGTGATCATTTTTAAAATTTATTCTGAAAATAAAAAAAGTAAAGAAATTAATAACTTTTAAAACCTAGTATATTGGAAATACTTGTTTCTTATATATAACTAAAGAAATCATTAAAATCATGTAAGTAATTATCTATGTAAAAAAATCAACCAATTAATTTAATTAAATAAAGTTTCTTCTTTCTATCTTCTCTCTAATCAAATACATCATATGTACATAGGTCAGAGTATTGGATTTCACAGAAAAAACATTGGTGTCAGTATTGTAAAATCTATATTACTGATAATAAACCAGTATGTATTATTATATTAAAAAAACCAATATCAACGTTATTTATTGATTTAGTTTATTTTAATTAATAGAGTCGTAATATGCATGAAAATGGTAAAAAACATAAAGACAATGTAGAAAAGTTTTTAAGAAATGTTTACCATAAAGAATCCGAAAATCGTAAAGAGGAAGAGAAAACAAAAAAAGAATTGGATAGAATTGAAAGGGTATTAATTAATGAATATTAATGAATATTAATTTTATATGGATATTTTATGAATATTTTATGAATATTTTTGTTATTGTTATCATCTTCTTTATTATAGGCAGCTTTGAAACAATATAAAAAAGATGTTATACTTTTGGCACCAGGTTCATCCATTTCACATATAAAACCACCGCCGCTACCACCTACTACAACTAGTAATAACTATAGTAATAATTATACAGAGTCATCATCAACTACAAAATCTTATAATAATAATAATAATAATAATAATAATAATAATAATAATAATAATAATAATAATAATAATAATAATAATAATAATAGTAAATATGGATATGAAGATGATACAATTTATACACAACCAGTAAAAAATACTGAAGAATCAATGATAGGTGAATGGAGACCTGTAACACCACCATTGCCATCTATTGTTACTAGTAGTGATAATACAGGATCATCATCAAAATCGAAAAATAATAATGACAATGATAATAATGATGATAATAGCGAAAATAATAAACAACCAGTAAAAGAAGGAAATTATTATAATCAATACATAGAAGCAGCGGATGACGAAGAAAATCCTGATGATTTAATAAACTTTAAAATTGTAGAAAAAACATTTCCATTAGATAATCAACTTTTTGAAGATGAAGAAGAAGATGATAATGATGATGATGATGACAATAATTCTAATAAGAATAAAGAAGAGAAAAAGGGAGAGAAAATAAGTTTTAAGAAAAGAAAACTTGGTGGATCAGGAAAACATAGAAATGTTAGAAAAAAAACTTGATAGATAAACTTTAGATATTTATATATTTATATATTTCGCAATAAACAATTGGAATATTGTTAATAATTTATAATCAATCTCTTAGTGGATCCGATTATGTTTGTATTTTTAAATTATAGAGAAATTATTAGCATACAATCAAAAGAAATTATTCAAAATTTTTATTCTTTAAATCTTTTATGTTCTGGTTCTTTCATAACACAGGCAGCCTAATTAATGATTAATAAATAATTAGTAATTTGATAATAATAATATTATTATAATTTAAGCACTTACATAACCAGGAAAATCATAATCAATGCCTAAATCTAATAATCTTTTTCTTTTCTTTTCCTCTTTTTTTAATAATCTTTCAACTTGTTTATCAACTTCTTCTTTAGTTTTTTTTCTATTGTGTTTCTCTTTTGCTAAGGTTAAATAATCTAATGGAATGAATTTTTTTTTTGTTCCTTTCCATAAATTTGGATTAACTTGTGACTCCGGTATCAATTTACCTTTTTTAAGTATATATATATGTATATATGTATATATGTATATATGTATATATATAAATATGATGATAATAAAGTTATGAAAAGATATGAGAAACTTGATTCTTACATTTAAGTATGTGGTTAAGTAAAAGATAATTGTCCATTGTTTCAACTACTATCTCTGCAACTTCAATAGATTCAAATTCTATAAAAGCAAAATGTTGGGATTTTCCTGTCTTTTATCATCAATAATAATTGGTTGTTTTTGTTAAAATTTTTATCAATTTGTCATTTTGTAAAAATAAGATCAATTCGTAAAAATAAAAAACAAACTTACCTTTTTATTTCTAAATAATTTTAAATTTGTAACTGTACCAAATTGACCAAAGTACGAACGCATTTGTTCTTCATAAAATCCATGAGGTATTCTACTAAGATAAATTACTCCTCTTTTTATTATTTCCTTCTGTAATATATAATATTAATATTTACTACTTATATATATATATATATATATATATATATGTTGTAATTTAAAAAAAAATTTGCAATCTTTTTCTAAAAAAAAAAGTTAATTACTTTAAAATTTGATTTTTTCTTGGATTTTTGAATTTCTTTAGAAATCTTTTCAAATTCTTCTTGTTCTTCTTTTACTTCTTTTTCTATTTTTACTTCATCATCACTATAATCTGAACTCTCGTCACTTTCACTACTATTATTGCTACTATTATTATCGCTATTACTGCTACCGCTACTACTACTATCGCTGGTTCTTTTATTATTGGTCATCAAATTTTATTTTTTTTTAATAAGAGATTGACGGATTGATCAATTCTATTGATCTACTCCATTTTTATTGGTTACATATTTTCACACGTAAATTTTTTAATTTTATTTATATTTACAAAATATCTAATAGAAATAAAACCCAAATCTTATCAAAAGATTATCACTTATGTTCAAATTTGGATCAATCATATATAGATTTAATTCATAGTGATATCACGAGTAATTTAAATTTAGAAAATGGCATGGAATTATCATCTGAAAATTTAATTTTACCAGAAGGATATGAACCAAATGAATTGGTATTTAAAGCATTTAAAATCATTTTTTGAAGATGTATCAAAATTGCAAAAAAAAAAAAGGTAAAATATGCTTTAAAAAAATTCGAGCTTAAAATTTTTTAGAAAGACAATTCCTTCCGATTAAAAGGATTAGAAGACAATGAACTAGATCTTTGTATTAAAAATACCACAATTGTTGGTTTTTAAATTAAATGATGAGAATGATGATGAAATAGAAAGAGGTAGTTATAATTATCAGTCTGAATTGTCTTTAGCAGTCAGTCCATTCTTGCCAGACAATATACAAGTCGCATTAGATAGAGCTAAAGCTTATGAGATGACCTATTCAAAAGGTGTAACTCTTTCGACATATTCAGTACAACAATATATGACAAGCATCCTCGAATTCACAAAACGCGAACTTAATTCATGTTATTTTGAAAGTTGGTTGTTTCCGAACGGGTGCAGATCAACTGTTGCAAGGACTAATTAACCAATTTGCTAACATGATGAATGTTCAGAATAATCAATGATCAAGGATTTAAAACAGTGCAATGAATGAAAGCCGTCCGCCAGTACAATGTCATAGGACATGTAAGATGGAATTGTTCTCAGAATAATATATAATAACAATGGAACAATAAATGCAAGAAGCAATAATAATAATGAGTGATAGGTGTACATTGTTATTACTTGTAAAAATTGCCCACAGAGTAATAACAGTAATTAATCACAATGGTAAAAATAACAATCATAATAATAATAGTAATAGTAACAACGGTAATAATGTGGCATGAGACAATTATAACAATAACAGGAACAACGGTTGAATAAAAATAAAACCAACAATCAAGGTTAGTTGATTTTTAATTAACTGAATATTAAATGAAATAACATTCTATTCATCAATTTTACAGGATATTTTTTTGATTACAATGTTGGTGATGTCAGTTCAAATTTTTCTAATTTATTATCATGGCCATCAGACTCAGAAATTACAAACACAACTTATTAAGAAAATCAAAATGCTACTAAGCTTGCACAATATTTGAAATTAATTATTTCATTGATAACTCGGTGAAATATACAAAACAATAATTTTGGTAGAGTTTGATGTTGATACATCTAACTATTTTCGGAATTGTTTGACTAGTGAAGGTAATAATTTATAGCAGGAAGAATATGCTGATATAAATACTTGCTATGAATTTTGCTTCTGAATTGTTGCAAAATGGGATTGAAGATGAATGTCACAAAGTTTTGGAACAAGAAAAAGAAAAGAATTAGCTTATAATTTTATTAAACCTTTATTTGAATTAAATACACGTTATCAAAAATATCAAACTTTTTTAACTTAGACGAAAGTTTTTTGTTGGCAAATGGCAAATTGGTTTTTATACGTAAATCACATGAAGCATACAATAAATATCCATTGAAAAATTCAATTATGATAATACAAATGCAATTATTACACCAAATTTTGCCAGTCATATTGTTTCATATTTTACAAACAATTCCGTCGATGCAACTGAAAGGTTAAGACAAAGAGAAAAAAGATGGACAAAAGAATATAGACAAAAATTGCCAAAATTTTTGGAGCAAACATAAAAATAGTAAATTTAAAGATATATTTTTTATTAATAATTATGATTCTTGCAACAGTCCCAATTTGTTGAAACATAAAAGTTCACCAATTATGGATGGAAGTTATCTTTGTCCTTTCCGATATGTATTGACAAAGTAATTTCCATGTATAAAAAAAAATAATCCAAGTAGGATTATTTATAATTTAGGATCATTGTACATGAGAATTCATTAATATTGAATGAAGAAGAAATTGAAGAAAAATTAAAAATTTTTTAATTGATAAAATTTATTATAAAATAATATTAATAAAAAATTGTGTATTCTACAATATGTAAAAAAAGTTAGTATTACCTATATACATGTATTTGTTTTCCTGTGCGGGCTTCGCCTCTGTATGCATTTTGTTTATTTCATTATTGAGCGTTAAGATAGCTTTCTCGAGTTTTTTTTTTTGTAGTCAGATCAGCCGGAGCTGAAATTATATTTTGCGTAGAAATATGAATGCTACTGTTAGAATTACAGTATATATTATGCCATTTTCCGGGATAATTGCGAGAATCTCAGGAGTTGTGTCACTGATTATATAAATCATAAACTACGATCACAAAGTACATTTTTCGATTATTAGAGTTAGTTTGATTATTCAATGCAATGTGAAAACGATTTATTTTTCCGATTTATTCCTTACCCGATACTCCAACAAATCCCGTCTGTTTTTATAATCGTAGATGGAACACGAACTCGAAATGCGCTATTGCACCAGGGACAATGATTTCTGCATACTTTGCATTAAAAAAAAACACTAGTACTATTATAATTAGAAAAATTTCCAAAAATCCGTTATTTATCGTAGTGGACCTCACACTATAATTAAATTCTTGTAATAACGGGTTTTTAAAATTTTATATTTATACAAACAGGTAGGGATGTCACGGTCCGGTCCAAATCTATACTCTGCCATCAGTCTGGACTACAGTCTTAGGACCATGATCCTAAGATTATTAATTGTCAATCTCGATTATTTATTTAAAAAATTTTTTTTAAATAATTTTATGTCGATGTTCTATCCCATAAACCGTATTCACATGCCAAAAGTCTTATTTATTAATAATATCATAAGTCACAAATTTGTGACTTATACGGTTTAAGAGACAATATGTTAATGTTAAGACTTTTGAAACTGTCGTGCGCAAATAAGAAACTAAAAAATAAAATTCCATAATAATATCAAGTATGCTAATCGTCATTTCTTTTCATAATAACAAATGAGTTATTATTTTTAAAAAAAAAAATTTCAGATGAAAAATTTTTTATTTATTTATTTATTCCCACAACCCAACCCGCTTTAATAAAAAAAAGGTGGGCATCCCTAGAGGTAGTGCAATACTAGGGACACCCTGGAGAGAAGTGTAGCAAGCTAGGGACTTCCCCCCCAATTTAAAAAATTAGTTTAATATCATAGATCCACAGTGTGGATCATTTCAGATATTAAGCTGAAAAGAACAGATACTACACTTGATCTTAGCCAAAAGGCTTGAGAGGATAAGGATCAACAGTTACAACCATGGCAAATATTTATATCAAAATTGCGAATTTTAAAAAATTATGGGATTTTCTTTCTACATCAATGATGTGTCACACCAGGACCTGCAAAGATAGGTCGGTCAGTAGCTGTTTGCTATATGATTTGACCTTGACCCAGACCAAAATTAAAGTTTAACATATAACTTGACCCTAAGGTTTGCAAATTTTGAAGCTGTCTAATTTAATGAAATTTATATTTTAATAAAATTTGTTGTACGGAATTTTCGGTCCCTAATAAATCGTTGACTACTAATAGATTTGACCCTATTAAACCTAACCAACCTTTTTGATGTATACATCTAAACTCGATAAGTCGGATGCAAGCAATCAATTGTTTAAAGTACTTTATAATATAAATAAATGTCCGACTTATCGAGTTTAGATGTATATAATAATTTGACACAGATTTACCCCAACACTAAATTCATTGACTAAATAATTCCGACCCTATTATAAAATTACTGACAAAAGATTTATGAATTTGACCCAGCTACGGCAGTAACCTATATATGAAGTTTGTGGGGTCCCGTCACACACAAAAATTTTTTAATTAAATTTTCGATATAATAATTGTAAGTTATGATTAATACGAGTCGTGATAAATTATTGATTATAGTTGAAATTTCTTTAATTAAATTAATGGATTATTTCTTAAAATCTTATTCAAATTAGTAAATGAATCGTCTTAACAACCTCACACGTGTTATTCCAAAACCCTTTTTTGGCAACATTAGAATTAGTTATCCTCTATGTTCTAAATCTCTTGGGCAGGCTTCTTTGAGTAAAGGTAATTATGAAACGGTTTTTAGAATTTGATTATTTATACAAGCAAGTTACATCCATTAAATTCATGCTAACATTATTAGATAATTGATACATATTTATATGTGTGTGTTTATTTGTTTGTAAAAAGGAATTAGATTTTATTCCAGCGCTCATGAAAATGAATCTTTTGAGGAATTCAGTGATCGTTATATTAAATTTTTTGAAGGAGTTGATGATCGATTTGAATTACAAAGAGGTCTTAATAATTGCTTTGCATATGATTTAGTTCCTTCACCTGAGGTAATTCAGGCATCTCTTAAAGCGGCCAGACGTATAAATGATTATTCAATTGCTGTCAGGGTTTTTGAAGGATTAAAACAAAAACTTGCGAGTGAAGAAAGTAAATATAATGAATATTTGGATGAATTAAAACCTATAAAAGAAGAGTTGGGAGTATTGACAAAAGAAGAATTGGGTTTATGAAAAAAAATTTTAAAAGAAACAATATATATATATATATATAAATGTGATATACATTCACATATATTTATCAATATTCATAATATTTTTTTTTGGGATGCTAGTAATTATTATTATTACGATAATCATAATATATAATCCTTTATTACCATATATTTATATATTGCGAGGATTAAGTTAACGAAGAAGGAAGGAATTGATGATGCAAAAATTCAAAATCCTTGATTGATTACAATTTATTTCAATTTTATTTTATTTAATCCATTGGTTTTTTCTAAAGAAAATTACTTTTTATTAAATATAAATAATAAATGAATTATTAATTACTTGATATAAATTATTAATATATCGCTTACCTTTCTTTTTTCCTTATAAATCAAAAGAGATGGTGCAAAAAGTAAAGAAATTTTTAATATATATTGAACGGAATCATAATAACAAGAAAATATAATATAATATAATATAGTGTACATATATTTATATATATTTATATATATTGCATATTATTATATTCCAAGCTAAAATTGTAATGAAAAAATATGTGAGATATATAAAATGTATATAAAGACATTATTATCATTAAAAAAAACATTTATTTCTTAAATGTTTGATTATTGTCAATAAAATTCTGTAATGATCCTGTAAAAATCTCGCAATTATCCTTTGTGTGAGAAAGGAAAGAGAGAAAAGAAACAGAAACATAATTATTATTCTTAAATGTGATGAATTTATTTATTATCACCATTTAAAAAAATTTTTTTTTGCAAATATACCAGACCTAAGAGTGTCCCCTATTTCTTCTTCTTTCCATAACTTTAAGCCTTGATTGTGCATCTTCTGATGACACAGGTTTATAGTATAGATGAGGAGTAGTTTTTGTTTTTGAAAATAGTGAATCTAATGAAACTATTTTTACATTAGGAGCAGTTTCTTATTAGGATTAAAATTTCAATTAGTAAAGTCAAGAAGATAGATCGTTGGTAATTTCAATTTCATATTCCAAAAAAACTTTTTTTTGCATTTACCATTATTTCCATTAGATTTTTTTCTTTCAGATCTTTGTGTATCCCGTGAGTTTGACAAATTTGGTTTTGTATTTGAATTTGATACTTTATTTTCTTCTCCTGCAATTAACTCCTCTGCTTTGTCAAAATCTATAAATTCCAACTCAAGTTTCCTACCAGTTTCAGGTGGGAACACAACATCCCAAAGCGACTGGTGTGCCAATTTTGCTGAATCAATCGAATCATACTATATCAACCAATCAATTAAATATATTATTGTTTATAAACTGACACCCAATTTTAATTTATTATATATTTCCTGTATGAATGCAAGAAAACTAGAATCACCTTTACATAACAATGAGATTTAATCTTATCCATCCAGAAAAATTCGATTTGGCCATATTGCTCTAAAAGTTCACGTACTTTTGCAAGTGTTAAAGGACGAACAAAATTTTTAATGTAAAGGGTTGTGGTTGGTTCATGTCCAGAAGGGAGGACTGAAGTATGTAGAGAAGGCAATAAATAAAGAAAAGAATAAAGTTGATCAACTGCCATTAGTGAAAAAATCAAACAAAAAGTTGGAATTACTTTGTTATTACAATACCTTGCATTTCTTCTTTGTTTTCTTTATTTTCTTCCCGTTCATTATCTTGTTGCATTTCTGGCTCCTTTCTTCGGTTTCTTCAGTTGAATTTTGGTTTGATTATTATTAATTTATTAATTGATCTTTGTTCAACGTTTATATATATAGTAAGTTAGAGTAACACAAATTTTACATCACATTTTTTGACGAAGGTAATTATTAATTTATTTACTCAATATATTAAACAAGAAAATTATGGTATCTATATCTTTTCTTTTCTTCGTTATATTATTAAAAAACACTTTAAACAAATCTTCATTGCATTATTTCTTTTTTTAAAAAAGAAATATAAAAAGTACAACCTGATTTTTGGTGTTTGTTTTGCGATATGACCAGTCATTCATTTCCGCTGATGTTTGATAACTAATCAATGAATTTGTTAGAAATCAGAAACATAATGACCGGTCATTAATGACTTGCATATTGATAATTTTATTTTAACATTATTACTAGAAATTGAGATGATTCATAAATAATAAATTTACCAACTATGTGTGTGTGCACAATATATATATGTATGTATGTAATATCAAAAGTTTACACGCGCCTTTATAATGTATTTTAATATAAAATTTTTTTTCTGGTTGTAGTAACAATAACAAAGAAGACTTTTTGATCAAACTGATAATTAATCATAAATAAATCACTTTTTATTATTTTATTTTATTTCATAAATAAACTTTTAATTTATATATATAAAAACAAAAATATGACAATGGTTACTAGATAATACAGTCAAATATTCTCATTAATAACTTCTTCCAAATAAAGCATATCTTTTTGCCAATTCGCCACATCCAACACATTTAGTTTCACCAGATATAATTGGTGTATCTTTTGGCTGTTCAAATGGAATGCATAATGATTTTGCGCCCATTGATGGAGCTTTATCATCTTCTGCTTCTTCATCACCATCATTATTATTACTACTAGCAGTAGTATTACTATTATTATATATCACACATTAATTAATATAAATGAAATAAATATTTTCTTTTTTTCAAAAAAATTATATATGCACACACATAATAATGTATGATAAATAATACCTTCTAGAACTATTTTCTTTGATTTTGTCTTCACATTTTCCATTTTCACACCAAGGAATCAATGCAAGATTTTTACCATCCAATGTTGGAACAAAATCTTCCCATTTCAAAACAATCTTAACATGTTCATTATAAACTTTTCTGGCTTTGTCCAATAAATCTTTTTGAATGGTTTGAAGTATTTCAGGAACTTTCGTTTCAAGATCTGATAATGCTATTGGTTCTTTGACACCAGTATCACGACGAATAGATAACACTTGTTCACTTGCCAAATCACGTGGTCCAATTTCTATACGTAATGGAACTCCTCTTAACTCCCAATGATTATATTTATAACCAGGGCTATAATTATCTCGCAGATCTGCTTTAGCTTTAACTTTGATCGATTTCAATTGTTTTATAACCTCTTGAACTTTATCTTCAACTGCTTTCTTGTCACTCTCGCTGGTTTTAACAGTTATGCCACAAGGAATTACAATAACTTGTACACTGGCAACTTTTGGTGGTAATACCAATCCTTTGTCATCACCATGAATCATCACCATAACACCAATAGATCTAGTAGTCAAACCCCATGAATTTTGCCAAACATGTAATTTCTTGGATACCGTACTACCCTCGGCAGCAGGAGAATTTGGATCTTCAACAACTATGTCGAACATTTTTGAAAAATTTTGACCTAGACAGTGTGAAGTTGCAGCTTGTATACCACGACCTGTAGTTGGTATGAAACCTTCCAAAGTGGTAGTATAAAGTCCACCAGCAAATTTCTCTTTTTCAGATTTTACACCTCGTATCACAGGTACTGCCAACAAATCTTCATAGACTTGTCTATACAATTCAAGTATTTCAAGAACTTCATCATCAGCTTCCTTTTTTGTAAAATGTGCAGTATGACCTTCTTGCCATAAAAATTCTCTGGTTCTAATAAATGGCTCTATAAATTTTTTTAATATAAATATCAATTATTATAATATATATATAAATATGTATTATATAAACACATACGTGGTTTTTTGAATTCCCATCTAACAACATTACACCATTGATTAACTTTTAATGGTAGATCACGATGAGTTCTTATCCATTTGGCAAAGTATGGATACATCACAGTCTCTGAAGTGGGACGAATAGCAATTGGATTTTCCATTTCTGATGACCCACTATAAATAATTAAATTAATTTAATTAAAAAAAAATTTAAATAAATAATAAAAGAAACATACGCTTTTGTAACCCAAGCTACTTCTGGAGCAAATCCTTCAATATGATTTTTTTCTTTTTCCAATTGACGTTGTGATACAAACATAGGAAAATAAGTATCTTCAACGCCCATTTCTTTAATTTCGTCATCAAAAAATTCTTTGATTATAATGATTATAATGAGAAAAAAATTATATTTTCAATCAATCTTATTCATATCTTGAAAATTTCATATTTATCATATATACATGTCAACCAGATCACACTCATCATCAACTCGCTCACTCACTTTGAATTTCTTGCCATATGTTATATGCTAAAGGTCTTAATATGTAACAACCAGAAACCTCTTCATAATACTCCAACATCTCTGAACGTTTTAATACCTTTTATTAATTTATTAGTTAATTAGTTAACTATTGTTATTATAATTGTTGTTATAACATAATTAAAATGTCATTATGATACCTGAGTATACCAAGTAGAAAAATCAGCTTCCTTTCGAACTTCAATCCCCAGTTGGGAAGCTCCTTCAATATGTGCTATTTATTATTTATATATTTAAAAAATATTGAAGTTTTTGATGAATTGCATATACATGTATACTTTTTATTTTTTAATAATATCATACCATCAGTTTTTTTTTTCAAAGGTGGTTTTTTTCCAGTTTTACTGATTTAATAAATATTAACCAAAATAAGGTAATTTTCTTTTTTTTTTTTTTTTTAATAATTAAAAGCATATATATATATATATTTACTTTTTTTGATCTTTTTTTTCTTTATTATCTGGTTGTTCCATGTTTGATTTTTAAAAATAAAAAAAACTATTATTTTTTTCTCAGCCAATCATTATTTATATTGAAAAACGATTGGTTATTTTGATAAACTCTTTATTATCGATTAGATTTTAACGCTCAAAAATTGATAATTATGATCAATCCGGATTGATTGATGGCTTTTTTAAAAGGCTTATGGGAATTTTATATTTTGTAAACTGGGAGGATTCTATTCTAAAGTTATCCCGAAATAAACGAATAAAATCAAAATGAAACGAATAACTTGAATATGAACATCTCTACAGGACCCCGGGTCCTCGTGTTCCTGGACCAACGAACCGGGATTTGCTGTCTCAATTACAGCAGCAACAACAGCAGCAACAACAATAGCAACAACAACAACAACAACAACAATCATAACAATCATAACAATTATATCATAATAATTATACATAATAATTATAACAACAAGAACAATAACACCAGCAACAGATACGACAAAAACAAGAACAAGCACCAACAACAACAAGAAGGCTATCTGATCCTGTGAGAAAAAGTATATATATTAGTTTTTCTTTAAAAGACCATGAAGGTTTGCTGGTGGCTATCTGGTCTTTTTTTTAAATCATGTATATATTTTTTTTTTAATAAATTGTTAATAATATTATACATGAAGCAAAATTTTAAAAATTCATTGCAATGCAAAATTAATTATATATTGAACAAGATCCATCAAAACGCACAGAATTTCATATCAATATTTGTTTTTCAAATTTGCGTAGCGATCTTCAAGCCAATAAAATTTAATTTTTGCGTGATATCCGGAAGGGAGATTGTCACGAAATTTAGCCAATGAAATCAAATGTCCACTATGCTTAGTCAAGGCAGCACACTGTTGAATATGAAACATTTCAATATGTGATGTTTGATTATCAGAAATTGGCAAGTGTTGAAGCACACACGCTTCCTTGAACACTTTACAGTCATTCTCACATCTTCCTCATGTACATTAGGCTAATATGACCTGCACCACACAATGATTAAAGACCCCAGGTTTATGCATTTGCATAATTTTGATTTTTAATGCATAAATTATGTAATGCATAGTTGATGATTTATTGCATAATTTGCATAATTTTTGCATAATCATACTAGACAATTTTAAATTTATAAAAAATATAAAAATGGTCATATCTGGCAAAAAAAAATTACAAAGATGATTTTTATGCTGATGGGACAAAATTATTTTGTATTTGTTTGCAAACATGTAGTAGACCATAAACAAAAGTCAACAATTGACAACCATTTAGAAAGTAATTCTCATAAAAAAATAAATTAGAATTTTTAAAATTCATGACAAGGCTATAGGCACCTTATGTTTTCTTGTGCATTGAAAATACAAAGAATTTATTAAGAGCTGGCATTGAAAATCCTCCTTTAAATCAAAGTATGATTGAATTCAAAATGTATCAAAAGAACCTTTAATACCAACATTTTCTCAAGCCTTTATAACCTTGCCTATGTCAAATTGTATAAACATGTTAACAGAAATTTAGCAGTACTGCTTTTTAAAGAAATTCAATGCTTTAATCCAAATTTATTAGAGCTTCTTCAAAAAAATATTTCGTTATATTCATATATCAAGGAATTTATAAATCCAGAAGATGAATGGATTATTTATTCTGAAGATAATGAATTTTTGGTGAAAGGTTTAGATTTAAATAAATATTGGAATGATAAACAACTAATATTACCATTATTTTCTAGGATTGCTTTAGAGTATATATGGCTTCCAGTGTCTGGGGTGGATGTAAAATGAAGTTTTTCATATTACAAAAATATTTTAAGTGAGAAATGCTTAATGTTTTTTATAATCATTTGTTTGTTTTTAATTATAAAAATGTTAATAAAAAAATATACACAGACAGACTCGATAAGTCAGCCGCATAATTTATACTATTGAGTACTTTAAACAATTGATTACTGCGGGCAGACTTATCGAGTCTGTGTAGTGCATAATTTGCACAATTTACCAAGTATACCCATATCGAATAAACGACGTTACACAACCCGTGAATAAGTAGATTAAGAAAAATAAATTTGTGCAACAATAAACAAAAATTCAAATTAATAAAATTAATGTTAATTAACATTCAATAAACATATAAACAAAGTTTCTAAAAGATTTTTTATTACTACCTAGTAATAATATGGAATTGACTAGAATGCCCTCGTTTCTGAATAGAGAAAGAAAAGTGACAACGACGGAGGAAAATGATTTTGTCGAAATGTCGAGTGTGCAACCACGTGAAAGCACAACTAGTGAGTTTGACTTAAAACCTCTTATTGATAAGGATGAAGATGATGAAATAATTGATAATATTGATGAAAGAGATACTGCTAAACTAACAAAAAATCGTGTAGATCAAAATTTAGAAAAAGAGGATGAAGAAACTCCTTCTATTAGGCACGAAGCCAATGATTCCAACAGAAATATTAATGTATCCTCCTCGCTTAAACATTCTAAAAGTCTTAGTAGGATGAGTGATATACTTGCAAGGGCATCAACAAGGGTTGTTAACTTGGCAAATATTTCTCAAGAACAGTTTGAAAAAGCAGAATTAAAACAATCTTCACAAGCTTCCTCATTATCACGTAGATCGTTTAGTCATAAGGATAGTAGTAGTATTATAAGAAATCGATCAATTCCTGCAGATTCTTTCAAACAGCAAAGATCTTCACATCATAAACCAAATGAAAGTTTTCAATCTGCAAGTCAACAATTCGGCCCTCCATTATTCGGAAATTCATTGTACATTTTTAGCCCAACCAATTCTATAAGGATATGGTGTTTTGAATTATTAAGTAATCCGTAAGAATCAATTGTTTAATTATTTTGTTATTATTTTTTCTTATAAATGTGTTAAAATGTTATTTTAATTTTATGATAGATGGGCCGAAATAGTGATTTTATCACTTATATTATTACATATTTTATTATTGGTTATTGATGCATGGAATCCAGTTAATGATAATGAAGTAGCACCAATGTGGAGTCAATCTATAGCTAGTTATATAATAGTGGGAATATTTATAATATACACGTATGTTCTTGCATATATAGATATACATATACATATATAAAATATGTAATTAATTGATTATTTAAAATTTTTTTAGAGTGGAAATTACAGCAAGGATTATTGTTTCTGGGTTGATTATCAATCCCAAAAAAGAAATTCGTTCAATAGCATACGATGAATTATATCCTGAACCTAAAAATTCTCAAATAACATCATCATTTAATTCAAAACAATCTTATTCTCATACAAGAGATGGTTCATTATCATTATCATATAATCAATACGGTTTGCCCAACACCATGGCAATATCTATATCAGATACCGCATTTTTAAGACACACTTTCAATAGAATTGATTTAATTGCTGTTTGTAGTTTTTGGATTCATTTGATAATAACTTTATGTGGAGTTCAGCATTTTTATTTATTGAGAGCATTATCTACTCTGAGAAGCCTAAGGCTTTTGTCAATCACAAGTGGTAGTGCAACAATATTACAGTCATTGAAAAAAAGTGCATCCTTGTTGGTGAATGTTATTTTCTTTATTGGCTTCTTTTTTTTATTATTCAGTATTATTGGCACTCAAGCATTCCAAGGTTCATTTTTAAGACATTGTGTATGGACAAATCCTGTTAATATTAGTGATACAATTGAAATTCCAGATAAACATTGTGGTGGGTTTTTTCAAATAAATGAGGAAAAAAATGTGGTAGAAGCTGTCGGAGTTTCTTCACAACCACCCAAAGGATTTATTTGTCCATTAGGTCAAATATGCAAGGTAAATATATTCTAATTTAAAAATTCTATAATCAAATGTTATGAAATTATTTATTTAATTTACTAATTTAAATTTTTTCCCGAAAATAAAAATAAAAATAATAAAAATTATTTATTTTAAGGAAACTTCAAATCCATACAATAAAATGATTTCTTTTGATAATTTTGGAGTTTCCATGATTTTAGTGTTTGTTATATCTTCAAGTAAAGATTTTTTTTATTCTAATATTTAATTTTTTGCTTTTTGAATAATTTTTTTTAATTAACTATTTTCTTTATATAATTATTTATTATTATAAATATTTTTAATCAATAAGTTCAAAATTGGTCTTATTTGATGTATTCAACAATGGATTCTGAATATGGAATATCTTGCTTATATTTTATTGTTGCAGTCATTATTTTAAATTATTGGCTTGTCAATTTGTTTGTTGCTGTTATCACAAAAATGTTTGCAAAAATTCGTGATGATACATCACATTCAGCTTTTACATTATCAAAGTAAGCCTATTAATCTTAATATTTATTGTATTTATTATTATTATTATTATTATTTTATAACAAATACTAAATTTATTTATTTTTTTGATGTAATAATAATTATTATTATTTTAAGATCTACACCTGTTTTGTTGGATGATGCTGAAGGATGGAAATTACAAGATGGGAAAAAAACAATAAAACCAAACATGCTAAATCGTATAATGAGAGAAACTAAATATATTTGGGTCTTTTTTATATTCATTGACCTATTCATTATGGCATTTAGAAGAAATAATGATGATGGTGCAAAGACTGAGGTTATAGGTTAGATTTTTAGGAGTATTTATATATATCTATATTATTATTAATTAACTAATATTTATATATTTTTATATTTTGTATAATTTGATGATGGTGATAAATAAGATCGAGCTGAACTTGTTTTTACAATAATATTTAGTGTAGAAATACTTTTGAGATTTTTTTCATATTTTCCAAAGTTGAGGTTATTTTTTGACAAATGGGCAAACATAGTAGATTTAACATTGGTTATTATAACACTCGTGATTCAAATCCCTTTTATAAAAAATTCACCTGTATATGTTTATATGACTGTATTTCAAATAGCAAGGATTTACAGAGTTGTAATTGCTGTACCAAGATTAAGAAGTTTATTGGTAAGGATATTTAATTCCTTCTTTTAAAAAAAAAAAAAATAACAAGATATTTTTTTGATTAAAAGTTTTTATTTATCAATTTAACAGGTGAGAGTTTTAGGAAGTTTGGTGGGTTTGGTGAATTTGATATTTTTTATTATTATTGTAAATTTTATTGCAGCAATAATTGTAAGTAATAATATTTAAATTTCTTTTTTTTTTAATTAAGATTTTTTAAAATAGTTTAATATTTCTAAAAAATTTTTATATAAAATATTTCAAAAATAGGGAGTCCAATTATTACGTGGTGTAATCCCGTATGAAGATGATAACGATTTTGATGGTATTCCAAATACTATGAATTTTAGTGATATATTTAATGGTTTTATAGCATTTTATCAGGTAAATTTATTACTACTACTATTATTATTATAATGATAATATAATAAAGATTTTGTTTATTGTTGATTTATATTTAATTTAGTTGTTTTCTGGTGAAGATTGGACAACAGTATTGTACAACACATTGCAATATGAATCAATAAAGGGCAGCACTGCAACAGCATACATAGCAGCATGTTTTTTAATTATATATGTTAGCTTGTCAAATTGTAAGTTTTTATATATCATCTTTATAAAATTACACAATATTATTATAGTTATAATTTGAACTATAATTATTTATTATTAGTTATATTATTGACTATGTTTATTGCTGTGATACAAGAAAATTTTGAGACTGCTGAAGAAGAAAAACACAAGATTCAAATTCAAAAGTTTAAAAATAAATCAAACCCCAAAATAAAAAAAGAAGATGTCATTGATAGATGGAACTTTTATAGATATTTTCAAGCAAAACCAAAAGCTTTATATGTAGAAAATATTCCTTCTAATTTGATTTTACATACACAAAAAAGAAGAGTTAGAGAATTTCTGAATGATAATAACGATTTTAATGAAAAAATGGTAGCGTTTAATTAACACACACATATATATGTTAGCTTATTGAGTAAAAAAAAATAACATTTCTATTTAATTTAGGGACACAAAAATGATGATAATGTTGATAAATCAAATTCATTTATTAAATATCTTCAACGATGTTTTGGTATTAACGTAGAAAATGATCAAACCCCATTATTTAAAAATGACAATGATAGAAGAAGTGTACAATTTGATGAAATGAATGTGGGAGGAAACAAGTAATTTTTATTTTTGTAAAGATAGTCAAAAAAGCATTTTTTTTAATTGATTAGTTAATTAAATTTTTTTATTTTAGTGATGGCTTTGCTGGAGATACAGTCAATGAAAGACATGCAGAAATTTTTCTCGATGATTACCAAGAACGCAGAGCAATGAAAGCTGATTTTATAGCAGCTCACCCAAATTATAATGCATCACTCTGGTTTTTGTCACCTAATAATCGTATACGTAGATATTGTCAACTGTTGGTGCCATCAAGTTATGGAGAAAGGATTTATGGGACAAGACCAAATTCTACATTAAGTTTGGTATTTGGTATTTTTATCTATTTTTGTATCGTAGCTAGTGTAGTTTTAGCATGCATTACTGTACCTTCATTTCAAGTAGTATATTATCAAACACACGAAAGGAACAGCGGACCATGGTTTTGGGTCACATGGTTTTGGGTTACAGATCTTGTATTTACGTTGATTTTTATGATCGAATTTGCTATAAAAATAATTGCAGATGGATTTTTATTGACACCAAATGCTTATCTGCTTAACGTCTGGAATCAATTAGATTTTGTAGTATTAATTACCCTATTTATAAATTTGGTTTTCTCAATCTCTACTACCAGTAATATTTCGGTTTCAAGAGCTATAAGGGCATTTAAAGCTTTAAGAGCTTTAAGATTGATCAATTTATCAAGTTCAATTAAAAACACGTTTCATGCAATTTTAATAGCTGGAGCACCTAGAATTTTAGATGCAGCATTATTGTCAATAAGTTTAATTATACCATTTGCAATATATGGACAAAATATATTTTCAGGGTTATTTTTTTTATGTAATGATACTGATTCCGCTATAGTGGGTATAGATGATTGCAAAGACGAATATCAGCAAATTCTATATAACCAGCTGCCTGTGTTAACACCAAGAATATGGGACAATCCATATTCATATAATTTTGATGACTTTCAATCAAGTTTAAGAATATTGTTTGAAATTGTTTCAGGTGAAGGATGGATAAATGTCATGACAACTTCAATGAACATAAAAGGAAAAGATTTATCACCAGTGCCATTTGCTTCTAAATGGAATTCATTGTTTTTTATGGTATATAATTTGGCAGGTGCTGTATTTGTCCTAACATTATTTATAAGTGTTATCATATCAAATTATCAATCAAAGTCAGGTGCTGCATACTTGACATCAGATCAAAACAGATGGATCGACTTGCAGAAAATATTGAAACAAATCAAACCATCAAAAAGACCAAAGATCAAACCATTTAATAAAATCAGAAGATTTTGTTATGATTTGAGTGTTGAGAAAAGGGGTATTCTTAGTAAAATCATGACAGGAGTTTATATACTGCACATTTTGTTGCTTTTGACTGAGTCTAAATATTTTGAAGATGTTACTTGGTATGAGAGCTTAAAAAGTAAGTTTTATAAACTGTTTATTATTTTAATTAATATATATATATATATATATATATAATTAATTAATACGCATTTTAATTTTAAAAAAAATTTTTTTTTTAGGTGCTTTATTTACAGTATTTATAATAATCTATATTATAGATATCGTGATAAAGATCACAGGATTGGGATGGAGTGTTTTTCGTAGCAATAGATGGAATTTATTTGATTTAGTAGTGGTTACGGGTGCTGCAGTTACTAATATACTAAATCTTATACCAAACTCTAACATTGATGCAATAAAATATCGAAAAATTTTTTTGATATTGATTGCTTTTAAATTATTTCAAAAAAGTGACGTTCTAAATCAGTTATTCAAAAACATGGTGTAGGTTTTTTATTTATATTTTTAAATTATTTTAAAAATCTATTAATTTGTTATTTTGTATATTTTTTAGTTCAAGTATACCATCAATCTTTAATTTATTTGCAGTTTGGTCTATTGTATTTGTTGTATATGCTATAATGTTTATGGAAATTTTTGGACTTACCAGATATGGACCTAATAGTGGCGACCATATTAATTTTAGAAATTTTCCAACAGCAATGATAACGTTATTTAGAATGGTTACAGGGTAAACTATCATTCAATTTGTAATTTGATAACAAAATATGCACATCTTTATTTATTTTAAAATTTTTTGATTGTATAATATTTAGAGAAGGATGGAATTCAATAATGTATGATTATAAAGTAGAGTCCCCATTTTGTGTAAGCGGTGAAGATTTTCTACAGAGCGATTGTGGTAGTCAACATTGGGCACATTTTCTATTCATATCATGGAATGTTTTATCAATGTATATATTTGCAAATATGTTTATAGTGGTGGTTACAAACAATTTCTCATATTGTTATCAGATTGCAGCGGAATTCAGTTTGGTGAACCGTGATGAGATCAGAAAATTTAAAAAAGTTTGGGGAGAAATTGATATAAACAGAACAGGTTATATTAAAAGCGAAGATTTTGGAAAATTTTTTAGTGTAAGTATTAAAAAAAAAATTTTTCCTTCCTATTTTATAGGAATAATAATGATGATGATAATTAAATTTTATTCAAAATTAAAAAAAATAATAATAATAGAAATTGAGTGGTTCATTTAATGTGAAAATTTACGATGATGAATTCTTAATACCAAATTTAATGAAAAATTCCAAGATTCACAAACAATTTGATTTAAGTAATCTCAGTAATGTTAGTCATAATACTCAAGAACTTTTTAGACAAAATGCAATGTGGGGTAGTAGCAAACAAAAAGAAAATAATACATTACAAGTTGACGATATTGATGTTAGAAAACTTGAACATAATTTGTTACAAATTAATCAACAAAAAGTTTGTGAACGTAAAAGGGCTTATAATTATTTGTATCAGGTAAAAATAAAATAATGGCAATAACTAAAGTTTTTAATAATAATAATAATGATAATTATTATTATTATTGCAATTACTAATTGATTGATTTTTTTCTTCTCTGATTGTAATTCAATAGGAAGCTTTAATATCAGTGGAAAGAGATGGTTTTGGTAGTGAAAAAGGGGTTTCATTTACAAACATGCTGTTAATGCTTTCTCATTATAAATTAATTGATGATGAAAAAAGTTTAGAGTAAGTATAATTACATAATAGTAAATAAGAATATTTTATTGTTTTTATTAATTATTTTATTTTTATTTTAGAATTCATGAATTTGTAAAGAGAAAAGAAAAATTAGACAAAGTTGCAGATAATGTTAACAGAGATCGTGTCAGGTCCCTGTTGAGAACGATATATTGGCATAAAAAATTCAAAGCTATAAAAGAAGAAAGAATATTAAAGGAGAGAATGAGCGGAGCTGGAAGTAAGTAGATATTTTAAATTCTTTGACACCATAAGATGAGTGTTTTACTTTGTGAAAATCTCTATGTTACTGTTACTGTTATATTAATATATTCTTTATTAAATTCATATCCCCAAAGTACCGACAATTATGGTGAATGATATGGAATCTCAAAATCTCAGAGTCAATACAGATGATATTGATGGAACACATTCACCATCATTTATTGGCGGTGCACCAAGCCCCTTGTCCTTTAATAGTATTTCAGCAGCCACAACACCAGGGTCAACAAGTTCACCAGGATCTCCAATGTCTATGAACTCTGACCATCACATATCTGATTATTTTATCACAAGAATGTCCAGTTTCAATTCTAATGAATTCTCAAATGCAACGTCATCTGTTTTTGTGTAAGTATGATTTTTAATTTTTAATTAAAAAAACATTTAATAATTAATCGAAATTTATTCATTTAATCATGAAAATAGGGATGGTGATAATGAAAATATAACACGAAACAGCAATAACAGTGACAACAACAACAACAACAATAGTTTTTGGAATTCAATTGATTCCAACTCAGAAATAGACGATCAGACTGCAAACCAACTATTTAATAATTTGCAAAATAATTATTGGCATGGTAAGACGATTTTTATTATTAATTAGTGCTGTATAATTCATTTGTTTATTCATTCATTTGATACTTATTTACTTATTTAGCTACTTTGCAAGAAATGTCCAATGAAAATGAAGAAAATCCATCATAATATAATACAATATATATATATATACATATACATATATTTCTATTTAGACTTTAAAATTTTTTATTTTAATCTGTAATTTATTTATGTATTAATACTTCTAATTGTTAATTTAATCTTTATATCATTTAAAAACATATACACACACATATAATCTATAAATATAAACATATGGAACATCATATAATGAATGACAAGTTATCTCCCTGATCAGAAGAGACTCCCATCAGATCTTTTTGGTATTGAGGGTGTGTTGAAGTGTTTTGAATGTTTGGCATAAATTGACCAGTGTTGATTGTGTATGTGTATAAGTTTTAGTAATGGCTGAATCTACAATATCTTTCATGGGATCCCTTGCTACCCACCTACCTACCTCGAGAATTAACTCCACGAGCTGTTCCGATTGGCATAATTGGCATGATAAATGAACCCAATTTCTTCCTCTCTCTTAAATAGTTGCATATTCTAATACTGACTTTTGCATTAGAAAATTTCAATGGATGGAAACATGGAAAGGAGGGCACCAATCGCAACTACGCATTCTCGATGAAGATACAGACTTTTATTTTTTCCTGGTGCCACTTTCATCATTTCTAACGCGTGTTTTCAGTCTTTTTTTTGTGCATTTCGCTGTTGGTATCATTCAACCACGTTTAATATAGTCCCACCATTTTATATAATAAAGTCAGTTTCTAATAAAATACGAAAAACTCTATAGACAAACCCGACCTGTATATGTTCGATTTCATCATTATTATCGACCTCCGGGCACAAAAAATACTTCATTTCATCTATTATAATGCTATTCACATACAAATTATACAAATCACCATTAATAAAATGTCCAATTCCAAAATAATTTCGCAAAATAAAAAATAAATATATACACCATCATTTTGTAGCTTGGATTCTTGTGGATGAATATTATCACCGATTAATTTTTGGGAGCGATCGAATAAAAATACGAATAGTTATTTATGATTATCAAGTTGTTATTATCTTTTTTATTCAAGAAGCTATTTCTCAAAAAGTACACTGTTTTACATACATGTCTATAATTAATGGTCTACTTTAGCGACTATATTTTTGATTTTCATCAATCGCTTCTGGTGCGTGCCATTGGAGAAGAAAACCTGGTTCTTTCTCAGCCTTGCCTGAATGCTTTTAAGTCAATTAGCCACCAATCGGTTTCTGAATAATTTTTTTCTAATTTGCGAATTTATTTAAGACCAAGAAAGATACATTTAATAACTACATTTAATTATGTCTCTGTTCTTGGTTTCGCAAAAGACCAACTGGCTTTGATTCAACTTCATTTGTGTAAAACTTACAAGCCTGGCGCAATTCTTACACAACTTCATATAGAAACTTGCAAACGTTTGGTATCTTAATGGGTGCTATTTCAGTATAGTGGTTGATATTTAAACAATTAATAGAAGAATGATGGAAATGAAATGGACATATAGACAATACAGATGCCAAGTTTATGTAAAAAGGAAATTTTTGAAATCATCAGAAAAGTTGCGCAGGGAATATTAATTGATCATTAATGAACGGCAGGTAAAGGAAAAAATTGTATATAACATCAAAATTATCTATCGCGTTAATATGCCATATATTAAATCACAAAATATGACATTCTCATATTGCTTAATTCTGTAATTTGGGAAGTTATATGACCAGTTAATAAAGCTCCCGCCAGTTTTTCTTTTTTTATTCAAACAAAAGGATCTGCTCAGAATTCAGCCAATCAGAGTTTCTTTTAATTACAGGGTACACAAGCGAGTCGGATAATAATGATCATTGCCCGCTAGTCTAATTTTATGATAAATGACATTAATATTACAGTATTAATATTAGTATTAACAGTAATATATCTCTAATGATACAAATAAAACAGCAAATAATTTGAATATAACAAAATTTCCTATAGAAGTACCCAAGAAGCAAAAAAATAATGTCTAATTGACGAATTTATGAGTCAACAATAAGAATAGTTGACGAAATTGACGAAATTGAAGTTGAACAATTAAACCGACTAAATTTTCATAACCAATGATCAAAGGTATGGCTAAAATATTGATTTTATATATATCAGTATAGTGATGTCACCAAAAAATGATTTAGATTCGGAACCCTTTGTCTTATCATCATTATCATTAAGAATAATCACCATGGTAAATACCCAACGTTACTCTACATATTGAATTGCTATATAAAATGCCATGTATAATACAATTAATAAAATTATTAAAACCCTAGGTTCTCAAAAAATGTACTTTGAGCATATGCATCGATTTTGTTTGGACCTTAAAATTCAGTATGGTATGATCATAATGTTATGAATACCTTATACTAGCAATAACTCATTAGTTTTGAGGCAGTGCCATTGGTTTGACGGGCTATTTGATAGTAAAATATATTGTTTTTTGGCGGAGCAAATAAATTTTTATAGGGTTAATTATCATTCTACTGACCAGTCACATACACACACACAATAAGATATACATGTAAGCTCATTAAGTCAGGTACAACAATCAATTGTTTGAAATAAATAATGACCAACCTATCGAGTTTACATATGTGTAGGGTTTGAAAGAAGGGCCCAAAAAACAAATCGGCTGATATGGTAATTACATATTACCGGAAATTTCCCACCACTATCCTTGTCCAAAGTTGATACATAATATTAATATATTGGCTAAAATATTTACACTATATAAAAACAATCAATATATGTATAGGAATCAATCGTCCGTCACATCACTAAAATTTGTTATTTAGTGATCAGTTATCGTTATATTTTTTTTTGCATTAATTCATATCACGTGATTTGATCATAAGTTTCGCTTTTGTGGATCTCTCGGTTTAACGGATAATTATTTTAATTTCTTTGGTTTCTTTGTATTTATTTTTAGAGCATTACTAGGTCCACAAACAGATAGGAATCAGCTATCTTACTTCCAATTGGACAAATTGATTGCTTTACTTTTGATCTCCTAATGTAATAAAATTAATAATGTTATTTTGGATTAATTAAGTTGAAAATATTATTAACGATTTAAAAAATCGATGAGCAACAGATATGACATTAGAATTGAAAAAATTAATAATATAAATAATACATTGGAAAGAAAATAAAAAAAGGAAAATCAATGAAAGAATTTTTTTTTGTTTGGTCGTTACATTATTAAGAATGATGTCCTTTCAATTGCCTCTGCAACATACACAGTGGAATGTGTTCAAAGATATAGTGTATATATTTGAATTAGATTTGAACCAAGTCAAAGCACAATTCATATTTGATTTGTATTTTAATGAAAGTTCTTCTGATGACCAAGAAAGTTTTGGTGATTATTCTAAAAATGGAACTGAAAACATTATTACAACCATAAATATAATTAATAGAGCGGAAGAATTAATTAAATGGAAATTTATAAAAAAAAAGACAAAAGATTTATTCAATGTTAATTTTTAGATACCTTTATCACTTTACAACCATTATTTATTTTAAATACTTTTTATATATAAGAAATAAAAATCAATGTGTAGAATAATATTTTTCCTTTACTGAGATTTATAGTTTGTGAGATAATGATTAAGAAATAATGAAAAATTGGTTCCTTAAAAAGTTTCATTTTAACTACTATTATTACCCGTTACTTTTAAAACCATAGCATTGAATATATTACACAATTATTATGAATATGTTAGTAAGTACAACGGTGGTGTCAAACAATTTTAAACACTGAGATTTTTTACTTTATCTGGTTTTGTTGCAGTATGCCCCATTTAATATTAGTATTTTATTAGTCGCGGTTGAGCTACAGCTAGAAAAAATCCAGTCACTAACCACCCGCGACTTACATTTCTCCGGCCAGTTTTGCAACATCACATGCATGACCTATTTTTTTTCAGTTCTATCGTATTAATTGTTTACAAAGCTGATTCTTGCAAGTAAATAATAATAGTCACAAATAATTATATTCACGAATCACATGACCTGAAGCACACCAAATAAAATATAATACGTGTATTTCTTTATCTTTTATCATTTTAATTTGATAACATGGCTGTAATTATTTCCTTTATATTAAAAAGCATCTCAACGCTATTATGTTTTATCAATATACTTGTATTGCATCTTGTAATTATAATAATATAATAATATTATTATTGATTACGAAAAGCAAAATATTATCAATATTATCAATGAAAATCTTGTAATTACCCAGCAAGATCTGCTCCGCGTTTTGATTTCCAATTAAAATATTTATAAACCAAAAAAGATACCACATTATATCAATACAAGTAAAAAATAGTACCTCTGGTTACTTCTTCTTTAGGAGACCCAAACCAAACCAAACCAAACCAAACAACAACTCTCACATTTTGTCACCTTGGACTCTGTCAAAAAATAAATTGTTTTTCCAAAAAAAAAATTCAATTCGCGTCTGTACACCTTAATTATGGTTTTTTTTTGGTAGTACGCGTCGATCAATCACAACTTCTTTTTATAAAAAAATTTTAAAAACATGCCTCGTGAAAGAAGAAGCAAAGGAAAGGAAATAGCTGATTTCGCTGGGTAAGTGTTTTAAGGATGGTGATGGTGGTTATCGCCCGCCACTTGTCATCACTCTAGTTACAACTTAAATACTGCTTCTGAACTTGGTACTTCCTACATACTAACTGTTGCTACTCCTACTGTGCCCAACAATTGATACACCTTCCACTAATGTCTTTTTTAAATAAAAGAAAAAAAGAATCCAGCCGTGAGGATGCATTGACTGAGTAAGTGTTTATCAAAAGAATGGTGGTGGTTATCGCCACTCGTTGTAAATATTATCTCTGTTGAAAAAATTGGAACCAAGGGAGATATAAACATTTATCATTTCAAGATAATGGTAATGGTGTTGTTTTATGCCTACAAATTGATTCAGAGAAAATCATTTGTGGGCATGACAATAAATATATAAATGTTTATAGTATCAAAACTGGTGTTT